AAAGCTGTTTTAAAAAAAACCCCAGGAAGCAATCTATAAAGGTAAGCATATCTGAATAACATCAGATTGTTCAGCTTAACATTTAAAGCCCAATGGAAATTGGGGCAAAGATACTTTAACGTCTAAAAGAAATCAAATTCCAACTGAGATTGCTATATTCTGCAAAATTATGTAGAATGGCTTTTAACAAAAAATGGCAAAAGTCTACATGTTTGTGAGGAATAAGGAAGCCTACATTGTAGGTGGGAATGTAAACTGGAACAACCATGGTAGAAACCAGAATTCAGACTCCTCAAAAAAAAAAAAACCCTAAAAATTGAAATTTCATTTGACCCAGCTATACCTGTTCTGGGCATCTTCCCAAAGGATTAAAGTCATCATAATTCAGTGATAAATCCCTATCCATGTTTATAGCAGCACGATTAATAACACTTAAATTATGGAACTCATTTATATGCCATTCAACAATTACATGGCTAAACGAAATGTGGCATTAGAAAACTACTTACCCATAAAGAAAGAAAAATTTGAATATTTCTTTAGGATGACAGATGGATCAGGAGAGTACAACGTTAAGTGAAATAAACACACTAGGTAACATATGGCTTTTCTCTTTTAGAAAAACTGGAAGTATCAGTAAATGAAGGAGTAAAATAAAAGATAGATAATTGGAAATAGGGTATTAGACTTTTTGCATATTGGATCTAAGGTTAGAGCAGAGGTGAGAGGGGGGAGGGGAAGAGAAAACGAAAAAGGCTAAGATGCAATATGTATATGTACTACTTCTAAAAGGTGAATGCAATAATTTTTTATTGCCAGTATGTACTAATGATAAAAATAAAAATATATAAACAATAAATTTATCTTCTTGTACAGAAGCTTATCTCAATATACTCTTGACAAACAGAATGAAGGCCTTTTACTGGCCACTACTCTGAGAACTACAGTACTCTGAAAAAAGAGATAGAAGAGGATATAAAAAATGCAAAAATATCCTTTGTTCCTGGGTAGGAAGAACTAATAGAGTGAAAATGGCCGTTCTCTCAAAACTGCTATAAAGTTTCAATGCAATTGAAATTCCAATGGCTTACAAAAATTCATTTGGAAGAAGAAAAGATCTTGGACTGAGGATTTAGTAAATGGTGCCACCACCTGCCTCACAAGGTCCTGAGTTCAACCCCTGGTACCAAGGAAAAAGAAGAAGAAGAAGAAGGAATAGGAGGAGGAGAAAGAGGAGTGGGAGAAGCAGGAGGAGGAAGAGGAGGAGAAGGAGAAGAAGGAGAAAGAGAAGGACAAGAGACCTATAATAGCAAAAGCAATTCTAGGCAACAAAAACAAGGTAGGGGATATCAAAATCCCCAACTTGAAACTATACTGCAAAGCCACTGTGATAAAAACAGCATGGTACTGGCAAAGAAAGAGACCCGTGTATCAGTGGAACAGAATAGAATATGCAGAAACAACTCCAGACGTACTCAGCCACCTGATCTTTGACAAAGGAGCCAACCACCCTCACTGGAGGAAAGATAGCCTTTTTAATAAGTGCTGCTAGAAAAATTGGGTTTCAACTTGCCAAAGATTGAAACTATACCTAAATTTCTCACCATGCACCATACTAAAATCAAAATGCATCACAGATCTAAATATTAAAATAGAAACACTAAACTACCTAGAAGAGAGGTTAGGTAGAACTCTTGAAGACATTGGTGTAGGGAAATGATTTTATGAACAAAACCACAGTTGCACATGAACTAACATAAAGAATCAACAAGTGGTATCTCATCTTCTTAAAAAGCTTCTACACAGCAAAAGAAACCAACAGTATTAAGAGACAATCTACAATGCAGGAAAAAATTTTTACCAGCTGTTCCTCAGACAGAGGTCTACTATCTAGAATTTATAAAGAACTTTAAAAATCAGATCTCCCAAATTTAAAGACCCAATCCAAAGGTGGGCTGAAATTAACCGACATTTCTCAAACAAGGAAGAACAAACAGCAAATAAAACGTATGAAAATATGTTCAACATCACTAAGCAAGGAGAGATACAAATGAAAACAACACTGAGATTCCACCTCACACCAGAAAGGATGGTTGATATCTAGAAATCAACCAATAACAAGTGCTGGTGGGGCTGTGGGGAAAAAGGAACCCTTAAATATTGTTGGTGGGAGTGCAGACTGGGGCAACCACTGTGGAAATCAGTATAGTGATAATTCAAAAAACTAGAATTAGGGGTCCCATTTGACCCAGCTATTCTTCTGCTGGGTATCTTCCCAAATATTTTTTTGAATCATACCACAGTGATATATGTGCACACATGTTCATAGTGGCAAAGTCTGTAATAGCTAAAACTTGGAAACAGCCCAGTTACTCTTCAAATGGATAAAGAAAATGTTGTTTTTTTAATAAAATGGAGCACATAAAGCCCTAAAGAATGAGAAACTAGAAATGGCTATGGCTGATGGATGCACATTGAACCCATACTCTTAAATGAAATAAATAGGACAGACATGTGTAAATACTGAATAGTTTCTCTGAAAATGTAAATAAGGATCAAAATGTAGACTACATAATGTGGAATAGGAACAAAAGTTCTAAAAGGGAAGAGGAATTTGGAGGGGTAGGGGAAAAGGAAAGAAGTAAAAGGAATAAATATGAGAAAAGGAAAAAATAGAAACAAAGTCTTTATAAACAGGAATGGGTGGAGAGGTTGGAGGGAGGGTAGGGGTATGGGGAAAAAATAAGAACCAAGATATATCACGTAAAGGTTCAAATTCCCAATGATGAATGTCATCATATTGTATACCTAAAGTGTACCAATGAACTTAATAAAAAATAAAACAAGAAAAAACATTCAGTGTATTGAATAATAGTCACATGATAGCCTGGCATTGGGCTATGAAACAAGTGATACCTGAATACAATCACTACTCAGTCTGGAAACTAAGTCATTGATTTCATATTTCTGATCTTGCTGATTGTCATTTTCACACCTACTGAGTAAATCAAATTAAATGAAGCAAATTTTTTGATGACAAATACACTGCAGAAAATCATTCTGAGTGATCTTTTCATACCAAATATTATCAGAAGGTAGATATTTAGTTTTATTACTCAGATGGAAAAATACATGTCTAAGATACAAAATGACATATATTATTGATTTCACTGACATGCACTACATGGAAAAGTCAGATTATTTTTCAAATACATTTTTTACTGTCACAGTAATTTTGCATTTTGTGGATGCATTGTGGACTTAAACACATGTAATTGTCCAATAATTAAGGATCAGATCAGAGTAATTAGGATATCCTTTACCCTGGGAAGCATTTCACCATGTTGAGAACACAAAACATCAACTCTCTTAGCTACTGTGAAATATTTAATCATTTGTTGTCAACCATAGTTGTCTCACTATGCTGGGGGACATGTGAGACATTCTGTCCATCCACTGGCAAAACTGGATCCCATTAAAAGAGGAACTAGGTTCTTAGATATAGTTAGGAAGAAAATGGTGGCAGCTGGTTTGGGGAAACAGGGATCTTGGAAGTGACTGTCTAACAGGGAGAAGTCTTCACTGCAGCTGCTGGAAGGCCTATGGGGATGGCAAGGATGGCTGAGCAGCAATGGCAATGTGCTTGAGGCTACACTACATGTGTACACATTGATTTACATGATGCAAATATGTGAGTATAGGTTGCTGCAATTTGTCTTTAGGATTGAGTAAACAACACTGAGAACTCAGATTGCTTCCTTGTACTCCTGCCAGGGTAGTTACACCCACCTGGGGGGTTGTTTTATTTTGTTGTACTGCTGACCAAATGTTCAAGTGGCAAATATTCAGGTTTGGTTTGCATGGAAGGACCCCATGCTCACACCAACAGGTTCCCTGAAATTATCAGCAAAGGACAAGACCATGATAGGGTATCATGAATGCAGCCCAAGAGTCACCCCTCCAAGGGAGTGGCAACCCCAGCACAGAATGCAGGACCTAGACTCAAACACTGAGGCTATAGGATCAGTCACACCCCATACAGGGAAAGAGGTAAGAAGAAAGAATACCAGAAGTGAGGGTCCCAGAGGCCAACAGCCCCAGGAAGAGCCAAACATCATCACCTCCTCAGGCAGAAAGAGACAGGGCTGTGTCAGCAGTTAATTTTCCTGTCCTCCAGGGTCTCTTCAGTGCACACGTAGACTCTGCGTGAAATTTTTTGGATCTTAAAGTGGCCAGAGCATGTTTTATCACCCATGTTGGCCATGAACCCTACGAGCTGCCTGAACTGTTTAGGACCTACATGGGAAGTTTGGACAGAAAGGGTTGGGTGCAGTAATGAAGATCTGAATCAGCTGCCCACTGACTGCCCCTTTGAGACCTGACAGGCACACACAGTGCTCTAAGCCTCAGGACAGCAGAGGCCAGACCTCTGCTCACTGCTGGATCCTAGGCAGTTGGCGAGCCAGCACATGGTCTCCACCACACTGAAAGCGAGGCATATGTGTCACTGTCTGGAGTCACCCATGTTGGGGTCTGTATGCAGGTAGAGGTATTCACCTCTAGCCCTAGTCTTGATTCTCTCTAAACCTGCATGACATCTTGCTGGAACTCCTTTGGCCTGTTCTGCTGTGACTTTGGGCAAATGCAAAGAGATGTGGGGACAGAGGAGAGAAGACACTGCCTAAGGAGAGAAGGAGGCATGATTATGAACACCACATGCTGAAAAGAGAATCTGATTTCATCGTTGGGCAACACTTATTTTTATTTTGTCCACAAGGTTGCAACACAGGCTGATATATGTGAGAAGTGACAAAAGTGGCCATGGTTCCTAGGAAAGGATGCATAATGATTGATTGCTATGAAGGAAACACGTTGTAATTTTCATTTACATTTATTTCTCTCTTCCTTTGGATGCCTGTGGCTTTGTAATATGGAATCACTGAATACATAATTAGGAAATGTAAAAAACACACGTGATCAAAAGTTTGCATAAGAATGCTTTACTGCCAGGTAGGAATACACAATTGCAGACTGTTAGAGGTCACAGGAGGAGGAAGCTGGCTTTGGGAATACTGGACCCACAGGAGAACACTACATCGACCAGGCATGGACTGGACAATGCTTTTCTGGGTTATTGCGTTCCACCACAGTGTAGACACACTTCTCCTTGTGGAAGGTGGCTTGGCATTTGACTTTGTCGTAGTACTCAGGTATATGAACTCTATCATGGAGGCAAGACCAAGGCTTGTTAGAAGGATGAAGACATCAGCAACCTCACCCTGAAGCAGCCCACATGCCAGCTGGCTGAGATCCCATTCATCAATATAGGACACTGCTTTACTGGCACCCCAAGAGTGAGATTCTGGCCTCCTAGACTTGCCTAGCCCACAAGTCACATAGACCATCACTCACATGAATGGCAGACTTCTCCATACATAAACAGAAAGTAGTAGACACTTTGGCAGGACATGGGCAGGTCAGTCAAATGCCAGGGCAGGGAAGCCTTGCCCAGTCCTTCCCACATGCTCTGTTTAGAAAGTGTCCAGCACTGTTGCAGCTGGAGTGTGGAATGAAAGGGCTGTCCCTGAATGGCATGGGTGACCTGGTACCAGAGAAGCTAACTCCACCAACAGCAGCAAGGAGCCACCCAGGCCAGTGTCACAGCACCCAGGGAGATGATAATCAAAATGGGTCACTTTTTCAGGATCATGCACTGCACACTGAGTGGAGCACAGATTAGGGCTTCCATCTCATGGCCCTGGATTGTAACCATCCTATTTGGACAGAGGCAGCCAGCACCAGAGCCACTTGGGACAATGTTTCCTTCCATGAGATGGCCATGGGTTTTTTTGTAAACAAAAGACAATGTTACCATCTTCTTCTGCAGCTGTCCTATGCAGTGTCTCCTTAATACTCATTGATGACCCCCTGAACAATGATACTTTTAATGGTTGGGGTGTAATGGAAGGGGAGCAGACATCTGCTCCCAGGGACCAGGGCACTGGGCACTGACGTAGGGGACCAAGCACAGTGGCTACCTTTGGATCATCATCTTGTGAGTTGCAGCAATTGTAATCATGCACTGGACTCTATGGTTCTAATGTGATCAACTATAGTATGATTACCTTGCATTATGAAGTATTTTTGAAAAAGTATGATGTGATCATGTGGTAATGATACTGGAATATGAAGTGGACATATCTGACCTCAAAAGGCAACATAATGTTTCATATCCACTACATAAAATAAAATGAGTGTAGAAAAGAGCAGAAATTAGGATAAAATGTTTTTATGTTTAGGCAGTGAAACTATAACTGTTTTCCCTGTTGTTTGTAATTTTTAGTAGTTTGATACCTAGTAAATTTTTGTTTACACATGTAAGAAAATGTCATTTTATTCTTTAAACCTTAAAAACTTGTGCGCAGGTGGGGTGATGAAATGGTACATGCAATGTGGAAAATAGCAGTTCCTCAAAAGTTAACCCCATAGATTCATATGGCTCAACAGTGCCACTCCAAGTACAGAACTCAAAAGAATGGAAAGCAGTGGGCAGGAATAAGGAGTGAAAAGTACACCTTACGTGGCTCAAAGTTTTGGTCTGACGTCATTAGAAATATTAGTACAAAGCCAGGTGAGGTGTTGAAGGCCTGTAATCCTACTACCTGGGAAGCTGAGTTAGGCAGGTTGCAGATTCAAGGCCAAGAATCAAGAGAACCAGTGGGGGAAAAAAATGAAAACCAAAACAAAAAATGCTACTTAAAAAAATTGGAAAATAGTAGTGATGGTTTCAAAATAGTGTGAATGTACTTGATTCCACTAAATTCTACAATTTAAAAATAGTCAAAATAGAATATATTATGTAGTGTAGTTTACTTCCAAAATGATTAAAATACATTTGCAAGTTATTCTAAGGATGTGAACATGCATAACTCTACCATCTGTGTGCAGGACCAACTTGCTGGGACACAGGGTAATCACTGGATGCAAATTTAATTCCACTCAAACCTAGCATGGGAGGGGATACTGCTGGGAGAGACTCAGCAGGGACATCACAGTCATTAGGTGGTCAGATGCTCAGAAATGAGGCTGGGCGAAATTGGTCCTGTGCCTCCCTCACTGCGCTCTGGGCGCTGGGTCTGGGCACAGCTAGACTGGGCACAGTGGTGGCCAGGACACCTCCCTTCCCTGGCCAGAAAGCCCCAGCCTGGGCCTGACTCTCTGATGATGTGGAGATCTGGGCAATGTCCTGCAGAGGTGCCATAGTATCAATTCTTGTTCCATAGAAGCCGAGCCAGATGGATATTGTGCCACACCCAAAATAAAAATGAAAGATCATGAGAAAACAGACATGGTGAGGATTGAGGCAGTTCTAGGGAAGCAGGAGCTAGTTCTCTTATGGGGGGCAAATGAGCACCTGTCCCTTGGTGGAGCAGTGTGGCACATGGGGCAGGAAATACAGCAGAAAGGAAGAAAAGTGCACCTGGAACCCTGACCTGCCCTAGATTTGTGACCGCAGACCAAGCCCAGAGAAGCTGCCCTGTTTTTACTGGGTAAATGGATACCTGTAAATCTCATTGGGTTCTCACATCCACCTGATGATGACCACCTCACAATGAGGAAAATGAGAGAAGCTGAGAACTCCCCCTGGAGCACACAGTAACTACAAAAGGAAAAGAAAATTCAAACTCAGGTCACTGTGACTCTAGCATCAAGGGTCTTTCCTCATCACTATTAGGAGCAACCCTTCCTCTTCTGAACCCGAGTCCCCAGGAGCCATAGAGGAGGGTTCTACAGACATACTAGGATGACCCTGCACTGAAAGGCAGTATATGCTCTGGATACAACAAGGTAGCATTCTCTTATGAGGAAGGAATGGTCAATCAGCCCTGACTCTGGCCAGGACACACCCACACCTCAGAGTTAGACTGTCACTTCCTATGAAGACACAGTGAAATAGCCAGTACCTGAGTTCAATCCCCGGTACCAAAACAAAACAAAACAAAACAAAACAAAAAAGAAAGAAAAAAATAGCCAGCCCCAGGAAACCAATGCACCTGTAACAGGCAACATTTAGACACTGCAATGTTCCATGCTCTGCCCAAGTCTAGACATCGGACTTGTCTCCTAATCCACTGTGCATTGACCATTATCCCTCTCAATCAACATAGGCTGATTTTCCAAACAATTTACCTGTCATCTGACTTAGGTGTTCTCTTCAAATCACCTGCATACTCTTCTACCTATGAGATTGGCATAAGACTCTGAGACTCCTGGTTGTAACAAGATTCTGAGGTAAGGTTGGTAAATGTTACTTCATATTTATGCTTCTGAAACAAGGACACCCATTTTGAGTGCAGACGTAGCTCAGTGGTAGAGAATTTCCATTCATGAGGTCTTGGGTTCATCAGCAACCCCAACAAAACAAATGCTACTCTTTTTCTTGGAAAACATTACAAGCTAGAGACTGGTGGTATGGGCCTGCAGCTATCTGTGAACAGAGGATACATTTTTGTCATCTGCACAAGCCCTGCCAAAACATCTGCATGAATTTTACCTGCCCTGAGTTCAAGTCTAGACATAAAACAACACAGGGTTTGCCGGACAAGGTGCACTGCCGATCATCCCTGACACCTCCCACCTCTTCTCTCTAGCTGTGTGCGCATGAGTGTGGGTAAACCTTCAGGGTGAAGGCTTCAGATCAAATCCTAGAAAAGCATAAGTTCTCTTGGATATATTTTTCTATCTTCAGGAATCTATGTGCATATGGGTATTTCAGAATTAAGTTACAGATCATGCTTTAAAAACAGCTAAAGAGCAGGGAATTTAGCTCAGCGGTTTGGTGGCCTGCCTTGCAAGCACAAGGACCTGAGTTCAATCCCCAGTACCAAAAAAATAAAAAATAAAAATAAAAACAGCTAAACAGAAATAAAACTGAGAAGGAAGCAAGCTAGGGGTCCATCCACAGGTGAATGGGTAAGCACAAAGTGTTCTGTCCATTCATTGCAATGTTACGGACCATGAAGAGGAAGGACACACACTAACACACTCTGCAGCACTGATAAACCTTGAGAATGTCATGCTAAACTCAGACAGCTCTCTGTGGCTCCTAGAGCAGTGATCCTTGTAGATTCAGAAAGGAAAACAATGGGGGCCACAAGCTAGGTGAAGGAAGGGCAGTAATGGTTGAATGGGCACTGAGTTTTAGTTGTGCAAATGAAAGAACTCAGAATGAGTGTTGGGTGTTGCAGAACAGTATGAATGTACCCAATGCAACTGACTGTAGAAAACAAACATGGAAAGTAATGAGAGAGAGAGAGCACATTCTTGATAACTCTGGACTGGGGGTGGTGATGAGGGGTGGATCCAGGTTGGTGAAGGGTAGTAAATGTGCCTTGAGCTGGAGGTCGAGGTGTTGACAGTCAGGCAGGCTGGACAGGTATGGGACGGTCAGTTGGGAATTATGCAAACCTTAGCTTAAGTTGTGCTACAAAATACAATCTCTGAAAAATGCCCAGATGAAAAAATACTGCAAGGGAGAAGCTGCTCTTCTCAGTCATGTCCTGCTTGGCCACGTTGGCATAAGACTCACGTTTTGCAGCATTTAATTCCACCTGGTTCACAAGTACACCTCTCACAGTTATCGGTCATCCACTTTGTGTTCCTTATGCGGATCTTTCCATTATCATCCCTGCAAACTAAAAATGGCAAATAGGACATTATTAGTGGAGTCAAAAGCCAAGTTATTGAAAAAAGTTCCTAATGAAACTGAGGCCAGCTCCTGGCCTGTAATCATAAGCAATTTCAAAGATGTGTAAGGAAGTGCCCTGTATTCTTGCAAGGTTATATTCTAGTGCTGTGCATTTCAGGTCAGTTATAATATTTTCCTACACAAAGTTTAAATTTGTCCACAATATGTTTCCATATTCCTCCTTAATATTATTGGCTATCCTCCTTAATATTATTGGAGCCACAAGGCACTTGTCCCACTTTTTCCTGCTGGAACATCTTTGAGTTATTGCTGCACTCCTGTGCATGTTTTGCTTTGCATCAGATGCTCTTAACTGTGTGCACTCATGTGAAAATCATGGGCACTAAAAAAGGTCTGTGGAAGATCACATGCTCAGAATGCACAAAACCCTAGATTTAATCCCTAGCACTCAAAGAAATAAGCAAAAACTATGCAAATCAAATTAAACACCTGTGCCACCCCCCCAACTATGAAATCTGTATCTCTGGTTATGGACACATTATACCATGTGTTTAGAACTCGAAAATGCTTCTCAAGTGATCCCAGCATTCAACCAAGGCTAGACCTGCTGCTGAGTACCCTGAGGTTGGAATATCTTAGCAGGATTCACACACTGAGCATCACCTGGGCTGCCCTGGAAATGCATTCTCACAACTGCCCCCACTGACCCGCTTCCCTGAAGCACTCCCTTGGCTTGGGACCTCAGCAAACATCTCAATGCCTTTTCAGATACTGAAAGAGGTTATCAGCCCTGACTGCTTGTGGGAGTCAATCAAGGAGCTACAGAATATGCAGCTCTGAAATCAGAAATTCTGCTTCACCAGGTTTTTGATGGAGCTTGGGTATTCATAAATTTCAAAAACTATTTAGTTAATTCTCAGGCCAGGGATTTAGCTCAGTGGTTCTGCTGCCTGCCTCTAGTTAATTTTCAGCCAGATAAAATTGAGGCCATGGAGGAGATCCTCATTTGACTCCATTTCTGGATCTCACTGCCTCTCTTTCCAGAAAGATTCAGACACGTCCATCCACCAGTAGGTTCCATCTACTAGGCTGCAGTAACATAATGCACACTGAAACCATACTTACCATAATGGGAATTGTTCAGACGTTCTTCCTCAAATTTGAAAGTGCACTCATTACTGAATGCAGTTATGCATGTGGCCAGGACCAGGAGGCTGCCCAAGTGAGCTTCCTATAATGTAAGGACAGTCATGGCAGAGAGTGAGTAGGCTTGCACTCACTTCATGGACTGGGGATCACACAAAGGGCTCCCTGCAGGGATCTGGTAGGTAAATTTGAAGGTGGATCTTTGTCCCCCAGGTGACCCAGCCAGGGAAGCAGAACTGCAGTCAGTGAGAAAGTGAAGGACAGAATTAAACATATGTCAAAGACCCCACAGCTACAAAAGTGTGCTTTCTTATTGTAGCAGAAATTTGGGAAACCCTTAAAGATGAAGTGAATTTTTTAGCTGTTTTGCAAAATATGTAGAACTGAAAGAACAGAAATGAGAGAGGTTCTGAAAACAAGGAAACATGGACAGTGATACAGAGCAAAGAAAACCCAGGTGAAGTCTGGTTGGAACTGAGTTAGCTGGAGATGTGACTAGGAAGACAGGTTAGGGCCAGGCTGAAACATAGACTGTGATGCTCAGGACTTCATTTTGCAGATGATAAGACCTGTTTATTTCATGTTTTCATACTTTCTTGTGGTTCTGGACAGCACCACAGAACTAATAAAGGCACCCCGAATGACTGCCTGAACAAACCCATTAACCTAGGTTGAAACTCGTAGGATGCGGGAAGTACCCACAGCCAAAACATCATTTCAGAAGAGTGAGCTACACAAGCAAATCTCAGGATGTAATTTGGGGAATCTTTAGAAAGAATACAAGTTAGGGTAATCCTGCAAAATATCTGAAGTTAATAATGACATGATGCTGAAATGTAGGACATCACAGATGTCAGAATAGAAAGGTGGATATAGGGGCTAAATAGAAAACCCAAAGAGTGTTCATTAATACATATGTGTTCTGAAAAATAAATACGCTCTTTATGATATTAGAAACTGATTTATGGAAAGTGATTATTCAATAATTGGTTGTAGAACACATGATGGATCATTTGGAGAACAATCATAGTAAATTTCCACTTTAGTCCCCACCATCAAACAAATTCTGCAGTGGACTTCTCTATATTGGGAGTCCCCTCCTCCCAAAGTGCTCAGCTTCTGGGCCCCTGGAGCTCCCCCTTGCTCCCCATTGTCCTGCTGTACTCTGTGGTCACGAGGCCTCTAGGCTGCTGGAACACACACATCCTGCCCAGGGGCTATAATGATCACAGACACTGAGATCTGAGAGACTGAGGGCCTAGTCTTAGTCCCCTGACCTCATTTGTGCTTTGTCCAGTTCCCAAACAGGTGCCATCTCAAGAACTCAGCAGCATAGCAAGGTTCCTTCAGGCTAGGTGCCCACAGAAGGAAAGCAGAGGCTTCATCTGGAGCCGTGGGACTGCTGTGCCCAGAGCTGCTCTAAGGCAGGTGCCCTGCTCCCACATCATTCTGGGTTTCTCCTCCAGTGACAGGTACTGCTGTCAGTGTACAGTGGGGGCTTGCCAGCCCTCTGTGCCACATACTAAAGATTTGACAGAGCTACTCATCGTGTGACACATGGAAGACAAACATAGCAATAATAAAAGAAATAAAAATGAGAAACACAGAAAATTTCACCCACATTGTAACAAATGACCATTTGTAGATAAGCTGGAACCACACTAGAAGGCCAAAATAATCATATAACTGACTACACTCACAGGAAAACTGAGGCAAGTACAGGAAGTGATATGCACAAGAATCATTTGTGAGGAGCAGTGTTGCTGGGGAGCAGTTCTTTCATGCACATGAACATTCTTACATCATTTATAACATTGCACCAATGTCTGCACCTCTAAGCCTGGAGTCCAAGCAGAAAGACAGAGACACAATGACTGACTCCCCGGCAGGATGCTTAATACAGGGAAAAGTTAGAAAGCATAAATAGCCCAAAACACAGCTGCCTGAGAACATAGGGACTCAGGAAACAACCCAGCAAGCTGATGGCTGAGGAAGGAGAGATGACATGAGCCAAGGATCACTGGGTTTCTCTCAGCAACGCAAAGCCAGCAGCAGATCATCATGGGTGGTATGACAGCTGTGATGGGGACAGAAATGCTCAGACACAGATGGTAGGGTATATGCTAAGTTTGAGGGAGTCATTTTGTGGAATTTGCCCAAATATAAAAACTTGGGCTCTTCCTCTCATTTTCTACAGTAGAATCCATCAGATTCATAACCATAATGAAATAAACATTTAAAATATAAACAAAGCCATAGCTCACCACGTGTAGCAACACCAGGATTTGAAATTGCAGTTGCTTTTTGTGTCTCCTTCTGCATTTTCTTTCATCCAAATTTACTAGAAGCCTACAACTTTCTTTCCCCCAGAAGCAGTGTCTCTGACAGAATTTTGCTTTTTGCATAGAGAAAGAGGCTTCCTGGGCCTGAGGTGATCTGAGCATCTACAGGGTTATATTCCACTGAATCACAGAGCAAGGCTATCAGAGGAGAAGAACTAGTGGCCAGGGTTTCTGCCTTTGGACCTCAACTCCTGCAGAGATTCACAGGAAAGCTGATCAAACCAGTGCCAGGTGCATCCCTGGGTAGCTTGGTAAATAGGGAGTGTGCAAGTTCTGCCTCAGTAGAGCCAAAAGCTCAGAGTCCAGGTCCCTGATTATGCCTGCGTTCATATTTATGTCCATGGACTTCCCCGGGCATAGAGGTTCTAAAGTCCCATCCCATCAGGGATCCCATCCTCATACCCACTTGCCTCCTTCTTGACTTCTTCCTGCATCCAGAATGACTGAGTCCTGAGGTGTGGTGCCCAGGTGTGTGGGGCCAGGAGGGGCATTTGTTGCAGGTTTTCCCATTGCCCTGGCTTCACCACAGAGCAGTTAATTCAGAGTGTCTGTGGTGGAGTCAGGGTCAGTGCCTTTCAAAGGATGCCCTCCCCCAGTTGCCCTGCCAGATGGTCGTCTCTGTGAAACCCTGGCCTGGAGAGAGACTCCTGGGTTCTTATCTCAACTCCCCCAGGTTTGAGGTTCAAACCATGTGGCTGTTGCTTACCCTCCCCAGCTTCCATTTCCTCTTTTGTAAACTATCACATATATTGCAGCTCTGAAATTCAATTTAATTCCACAAACCACTCATGTAAGGTTCAAGATTTAGAGACATTTTAAAACATATAAAACCTAGAATAACATCTATATCTTAAACTATAGATCTCATTCTGATTTTGCTAAAGTCCCAGTGTTTCCTTATACTGTACACACTTGAGTTTAATACAGAGATGATTCAAAACTAGGTTACATTAAGCAACAAATGCTAAACAGAAGAAATGCACATAAGGGCATTTTGCATAAAAATACATACTCATTTTTCTTTCACTGGCCTTTGTATATGGAATTAATTACCTGCCAGTGACAGGCAGGATCTCTTCTCAGTGGCCCCCAACCCAGTTACCTACCATTGTGATGAGCAGAATTCCTTCCAGACAGGTGCAACCAGGGTAGTCACCCCGAGTATTTATACAGGACAGAATTACCACACACTGGACATCCTGGGAAAGACAACTGACCAAGAAGACACTGAGTATTTACAGAGTGATGTTGGAAACTATGTTTTTAGATGATTTATGAGATTTTTAATATGAATTTCCTCACAATTATATGCTTGCCCTTTTCTCCACCCATGTCACATATTTGTCCTTCACTTACAAAATCAGAAAAGGACAAGCAGTTCCTCCCTGAGTCTTTATCCCATGCCTGGTAGATTCCTAGGCATATGACCTATGTGCACTTGATTTTACCTGCAAAGGACAAGCTTCAGTGTGCAAGTCACTACCAGGTTCTGAAGGTGCTTTTGTGAAGCCATAAACAGCTCAGCAGGTGATCCTTGTTGCCCTCATGGCCTGTGCTGAGGTGGAAAATTTCTGGGATGAGAGAACAGGAATGTACCTGACAGAATCTTTTTCTCAGTGACTCTTGTCTCTCTCATGACTCTATACGGGGAAACCTGACTCTTTCGCCACACCTTGGCCTTGCTTTTTCACAGAAAAATATCTTGACTTCTTTCTTCAATGGCTAAGTTCAAAGTATACCTGGGAAAGAGTATCTATTGTACAATTCACCTGCATGCCTGTTCCCCAGCTTTGCCCCTCCTCCCAGGACGACTCACTGCAGGACACCAGATTTATAAAGAATTTACTTGTGAGAAACACTGACAGCATTGTACAACTTTTCTCTCTATGCGCTCTGTGTCCAGTTATAAAATATTCAAATTAAATGACTTGCAGAAAAAGGTAGTTGTCTTCTTTTACAGGGCAGCTTGGCCTCAGTATACTCTTGATGATCAAAATGAGGGCCTCTCAATGGCTCCATTAATTCTAACACCATTTTCCTGGTAGATTGCTCCCGAAAACACAAGTAAAACATGGAGAAATTGCTTATGGGCATAGCCTTATGGCCCCTTATCAAGATGCACTGAGCCCCAGGCATCATGAAGAATCACACCATTTAAAACAGGAACCTCTGGTTGATGAGGCTACCAGGTATTCGACAATAGAGATGGCAGGGAGGTACCCAGAATGAAAGATTGGCTAAAAAGGTGCAGAGTTTGGTTGCTTTGGTGCAGCCCCCTAGAGATTACCCTAAGCAAGGGGTCTAGCAGATGTTTGGAAACAGTGCAAAGCAGCCTCTACATCTCAGTCGGTGCTCCTACTGATTCAAAGAGGGCTACTGGCAATGGGAAGGTTCTGATCCTTTGATCAAGGACAACCAAGAGGCCACCCAAGAAAAGCGCTTTTAGCTCCCCTACAGAACAATTCCCAATGTGGAGTGATGGAACCCAAATGTCCACAAGCCCAGAGATACATCAGATGGGAGGAGCTTCTAGTCACTTTCCATGCAACAGGTCAGGGGCAGGCCTTGTGGAAAGCATTTCTGTGCAAAAATTCTCATAAACAATTACAGAGCGAGCTGGAAACTTTTTGGCATCTGCCTCTTTTCTCTTAATATCTGCTTTCTACTTACACTAAGATCATTTTGTTGTTCAGGGTGCACTGGAAACTGATTTCCTCCAATCCCCACTGAAATGGAGTATCTCAGAATTCACGTTAGATCACAGAAAAGAGAAAGAAAGGAAGAGAGAGGGAGAGAGAGAGAGAAACAGAAAGGAAGAAAGAAGAAAGAAGGAAGGAAGGAAGGAAGGAAAGAAAGAAAGAAAGAAAGAAAAAGAAAAAGAAAAAGAAAGAAAGGGGATGTCAAATCCCAGTGGCTACAAAGTGAAATAAATAAGTCACATGTATGTAAATACCGAATGGTTTCTCTGGTATGAAAAACTATAATAGTACATAAGATCCGAATGAGATAATTAACAATGTGAAATAGGAAGAAAAGGGCTAAAGGTGTAGGGAAAGGGGGAAAGGTAGGCGAAAGGGAATAAGGGAAAAGAAAAAAATATGAGAAAATGGAAATAAAGTGTTTGTAAATGGGGAGGGGAGGAGGGGTGAAGGGAGGGCAGGGACAAGGGGAAAAAATGAGAACCAAGACTTGTCATGTAAAGGTACAAGATCCCAATAACGAATGCAACTGTACTGTATAACTAAAATGTACCAATAAACTCAATTAAAAAAATCCCAGTGGCTACATAGCTCATAACTGAAAGAAACCTTAGGGGTTGGCCCTGTTGCCAAGTTACCTTCAAGGTCTTTTATTTTGTCTGAGATATAATTTGGATTGCACTTCTTTTTATATATTGATGAATTTGTTTTCCTAATTTACTCTGTCTCACCATTTAAAATTTTATCATAAAAGCCAAATGCATTTGGGTTCTCTTTTTGTTTTTTAAATAGAGAAAATTGACTTGTCAGATTCTTTTTTTTTCAGCTTTAATTGAGTTTATTGGTACATTTTAGGGATACAGTACAGTTACATTCATTGTTGGGATCTTGTACCTCTACATGACAAGTCTTGCTTTTCATGTTTTCCCCTTGTCCCTGCCCTCCCTTCACCCGCTCCTCCCCTCCCCATCTACAACCACTTTATTTCCATCTTTTCATTGTCTCACATTTTTTTCTTTTCCCTTTTTACCCTTCCCCTACCCATCCTACCTTCCTTATACCTTTAGCTCCTTTCTTCCCATTTCTCAATGTCAGTAATCTTATTAGGATCTTCTGTATTATTGCAGATTATTCACACCAGAGAAACTATTCAGTATTTACACATGTGTGACTTATTTATTTCACTTAGGAGTATATCTTCAATATGTATCCATTTTCCTATGAATGAATCTATTTTCTCATTCTTTTTGAAAGGGGAAGAACACAAAATTATGGCTGTGCTTGTCTGTGTACTCAGTTTTCATAAGTAATATGCAAATATCTAATAAAATTGTGAATATAAATGGATACATGTTTCTACCTACACTTTTCATATAATTTAAAGTCTACAAGTTAATCATGAAAGATCTGAGGCATTTGGTACAAATTAAAATTCAGAAACATCTGTTGCCAGATATCAATTCAAGTACTCTTAATTCTTAAGTCCTATAAAGAATGAAAACATGTTTGGAGAGTCTTGTTTGATTTATAACTACAAGAATTAAATGCTTTTTTCCTTCCTGGGTCTTCAGAAAAATGTAAGTTCACTAAGAGTTAAAACTCAAATTAACATGTGTATTTCTATATACTAGTAATAGAATAAAATTAGGATGTGTTTTTGTTGAAGATGCATAAGAAATCATTTTTTGGTAACAGTAATTTTGTATGATTTCTAAATCTGTGAGGATTGTTGGAAAATGTAGAAAGAAAGACAGATAGGCAGAAAGAAACAGAAGGAAGAGATCTATGAAGAATGATGGGTCTGAGACTATGCCCCTGATAAACAAGGAGACAAAATAGATACAGTAGTTTTGTATCTTAAAAAATGAGTATTATGTGGTAAGTTTTTACTTCTGAAGAACCAACAATAAAATAAAGAATCTAGAGCACTAAAGCAAGTCATAGTAGCTCTGAGGAGGTCAGAGATGTTTTGTGAAGAATGAGGCTTATAAAAGAGCATTAGCGTATGTGACAAAGCATATGTGAAAAGTTTTTTGAATTTTCTAAAAATCAAAATTTTATACAATGATAAGAACAAAATTTTCATTCTTTATTTTTAAAGAGGTAAGGGGTCTTCTTAAACATTACTTCATTGTCTGAATAATTTAAAATTTCCAGCCCAAAGAAAAGATTTTTTTCTTTTATCAGTATAATTTCTTGAGGAGCAGAATGAGAAATATCAGAAAGTAGGAAGAACTCGTTCAAATAGTGAGCAGAATAGGAGATGGGAGGAGGAAGGAAAGCAAAAAGGATTCAAAGAAAACAAAGAAAAAAGTGTAAACAGAGCCTTTTTAAATGTGGAGCGGAAAAAAGGTGGGAGGGAGGGAAAGGAAAGGTTGCGGAAAAAGAATTAATATGTGCTATGTGCATGTATACATCTTTTACGATGAATGAAATCATTATGCACAGCAAACATGTACAAA